CCCCGGGTGGCTGACCAATGTGGATGATGTGGCCCTTCTTGTCCAGCATGATGTTGCCATTGTGCCGGTCTTTGATCTGCAGCAGGAACAGCAGGAGGCTGTAGGCAGCCATGCTCCGGATGAAGTTATAGCGGGCCTGTGCAGGGATCAGCAGGCATCAAGAGGGCCCATGGGGGACAAGCGACCTCCCACACCCAGGACTTGGTTTTCAGTCCTCGTCTCCAAAGACGCTGTATGCGACTGCGGTAGAGGCGGGGTCCAAGTGTCCCAGTACCTGCTGGAAGGCCAGTGTGGACTCGTCTCCGTACTGTCGTGTGAAGTAGTCATACATGCCGAAGTCCGTCTGGCGACCCAGCTGGTCCCGAGAGGTGCAGTCTGGGATGCACTCAATCACTCCGCACTGGGGAGGTGGGGAGGCCATGCTGAGATTGCTGGCAGGGAGAATGGGTGCCCTTTGGGAGAGCTAGCTTGTAGAGAGGGCACTCACCCCAGGGGCAGTGGCCACGACCCGGTAGGGAAACACGAAAAGGTCCAGGCCCACCAGCTGGAAGATGTTCTTGAAGAGGTCTATGATCTGCAGGGCCAGCATGTCCTGGGAGCCGACAGGAGGGGGACACCATGGGCACTGGGCGGCCGGCCTGCCCACGCCCAATGGAAATGAGGATCCTTGGCAGCTGCTTCCCCTTGGGCAGTCCCCCACCCCCAGTGGTTGAAAGTAGACTAGTCTGGGTTTCCATAGCCGGGTCCACTAGCCAGCTATGGCAGGAAGGGGCAGCCGGCTGCTGCTGTGAAGATCTGCGGCCTTGGAGACCTTCTGGGCAGTTCTCTGGCCTGCAGGCTCACTGAGAGGCAGAACCTACTGGACAGCAGCAGGTCTGGGTATGTTAGCTACGAGGCCCTAGAGCAGTGGTTCTCAACCTTCCTCATGCCCTGACCCTTTAATACAGTTCCTCATGTGGTGGTGACCTCCCAACCATAAAATTATTTTCGTTGCTACTTCATCACTGTCATTTTCCTACTGTTGTGAAAGGGTCGTTCAACCCCCAGGTTGAAAACCGCTGTCCTAGTGGCACCATGGGTTATGTCTTGGGTAGCTAACTGGACGACTGGACATTCAAGGCCACCAGCTGCTCCATGGAAGAATGACTTATCATCTCGGAAACCCCACTACTCTGTCCTGCAGGGCCACTAAGAGTCAGAATGGAATTGGTGGCAGTGGGCGATGGGCATTGGCCTTATAGCCCCAGAATGCAC